CCATCAACAGAAATCAGGAGGTACTTTAATATTTTATCCACCATTCTCTGTGCATGTGTATTCAGTCACCAAAATGGAACTTCTAGAAATTTAAAATTTTTTTGCCTATGTAAATATCAAGCATTTCCACAAGATGCATCTTTCTGCTCCACAGCTCCAGAAGTGTTGAACAACCAGAGATACACACTCAGCCCTGACTACTGGGGGCTAGGCTGTCTCATTTATGAAATGATTGCTGGGCAATCACCATTTCGTGGAAGGAAAGAGAAGGTGAAGAGGGAAGAAGTGGACAGAAGAGTGCTGGAGACAGAAGAGGTGTACTCCCATAAGTTTTCTGAGGAGGCCAAGTCCATCTGTAAAATGGTAAGGGGCTTGAAGGCCCAGTGTGGCAGCTTCATTAGCAAGCTGTATCTGACATGGTTTGAGCAGTAACACAGTACCACAGAGGGGCTGCAGACACAAGGGCTAACCAAGCTCATCTGTTGATGGGATGACTGCATTCTCTATTCATTCAAATTGTGTTTATTTGGGCTTGCTTCTCCATGAGATTCGCCATGGTCATCTTGAGTCCTCTCCAAAGTTTTATGGCCAAGGGAGCGGTATCTATTCTCGGGAGACTTTGAATGTTAGTTTGCAGTCAAGAATGCATTTCTGTCTTTTATAATCTTGTAGAAAAATAAAAAGGACTTGATGATGCAAGACTCTGATTGTCTCCTGCAAGGAACTGAAAACCCCATGCTTCCATTGTCTTTGGTGAGAGCTGGGGGTAAGCAGGACAAAGATTATGCAATGAAATTATTGTGACACTCAAATGTTGTCCCACCCCATCTCACTAATTTTGTTAGCAACTTTTCCCCCAGGGTGCCAGGGTATCCAGCTTTTTTTAATACTGTTGAGCTGTCCTTTAAAATGTTTTCTCACTCTTTCAGCTGGGAGTCATTTTCGTAGCACAATAGCCATGTCTGACAATGGAAATCCTCAAACCCTCTGAGAAATCTCAAAGTTGTGTCTGAATTCATCAATGTCCTGTCAACATCCATCTTCAGAAGGCTGGATTGTAATTTGGAAAGGGATGTGGCCTTTTTCTTGATGTTGTTTGCTAAAGAGTGAAGTCTCCTTTGGAGACAATGACATATCTGTGTATACTGGTAGAGAGAGAATGAAGGGAAAGAAAGGTCAACAAATAGGTAGTGAGAGTTTCACCAATATCTTGTGCAACAGGCAGGCAAACAGCAGATCAACAACATTCTGGTTGGCTGGCTTCGTGAAGAGACACTGAAGTCTCCTTGCAAAATAATAATGGTAGTATTGCCAAGTATCATGCCTGGAAGTCATTAACTCACAGTGCACCAACTCATTGCTGAATCCCAGAGGTAGTAATTAACTGACATCACTCTTGATAGACACTCTAGGCCATTCACTGCCCTTAATCTGTGATTCAGAGCCCCCAGTGAAGTCAGCGTGGGAGGATCTAGGACAGCCACAGGCTCTTACAGACCATTTCATGCGCTCAAACAGCCTGCCGTCTCTTCTCTAGTAGCATCTCAACTCCCACCAGGTGAGGAGCAGCATCTGCTGGAGTGGCAGAGAGTTTGTGCACGTCCTGTTGTTAGCATGAAACGAAAATGTCATGAGGCAAAAATTACATTCTTGTTGCTTTGTTCTGTTGTTAGTTGCAGGCATGAGGCGTAATAGAATGAAAGTATACTTTGAAGATAACCAAGCCCATGAGAACTTAAAGCTGAGAAGAATTAAATGTAGCATTGATGGGATAGTGCTGGACATGACCTACCACTCCCAGGGGAGTAGACAGTGAAAGTCATTATACTGTAGTGGTCATTTTCATCTTCAAGCCATAGAGTCTATGGTTTCAGGGAGTCAGGGACCTCAGGAAGTCGTCTAGTTCATTCCCTTGCCTCAGGGAACCATGAACTATTTGTAAATCATTCCTGACAACTTCATCATTGCTGCTCCACTGTCCAATCACATGGCATGTTTATTTAGGTGGTTTGTGCAAACTCTTAATGGATCCAAAGATAACCCTGTCATTTTTGAGCATTAATGCATAAAAATTACTGTGCCTTAAGGCTGGAGGAGCCTTACTTCTGATACTGAGCATGATGGCATTTGTGGTTTTCCATCCAAAAGTCACTTATTTTACCAAGTGATATTTTTAAAAATCCATGATCCAAATATATTTTCTGAAATACTTTTTGTTCTTTATATTGTAAACCAGAACTTTATTGCTTTATATCAGCATCTTAAGAGGGAAATAAGAAAGTGATAATTAGGTGCCCATCATACCTGCAAAATGAAGCATGAAGTTGCAGTACATAAATCCAACTTGAGCTTTCACAAAGATCCAACACAAAAGGCTTTCCTGTAGTGGACTTTTCAGGGCAGGAGCAAGGAACAACATGTTTTCCACCGTATCTCCTAACCTTCTCTTCAAAGCTTACTCCATGAGCTAATAGCGTCTCCACCAGGAAATATATTGTCTTTATTCGTTTACTCATATCAAAACCCTTTTGTGTCACCCCATGTCAACCTTCCCCTCCTGGACATTTATGCCCTTTGCATTTTTGCAGACACATATCATTGCTCCCATTAATCATCATCCATTCCATATTTCCACGTTTCATTTTGTAAGTCATTTCCCATAAATCAGCTCTCATTTTGGACTGAAACAGAGATGAATAATAAATAATTAGGAACAGGGGCAGCTGGCTTTCTGGGAAGCTCCCCAACCCATAGTTCCCATATAACATAACTGCTTCATGGTGTGTTTTTTTCTGTGAAAAAATGCAACCTTTCTAGGAAATGCTCCCTGTTTGTTGTTGTTATGACTTGTACTTCATTGATGTACATGCGTGTTCTCCGTGACAAGTGCAGTCTTGCATCCAAAGATGGGACTTGAAGTGCATTCAAGTCAACAGTATTGGACAGGCCCGTATTGCTGTGCTCTTCTGTCACTTTGTTAGTGTCCTGTTTGTCTGCATTTCTCACAGACTATTTTCCCTGCCACTTCTTATTCCTGCAGCTCCCATTTGACTCTGAAAAAGAGACCTCTGATTGGAGGGTGCAAAGAAGGCGGAGCCAAACTCTTGGTTTGGTGCCCAGTGACAGGACAGGAGGCAATGGGCATAACCTGAAACACAGGAGGGTCCCTGTGAACATCCAGAAACACTTTAACATGGTGAGGGTAGTCAAATACTGGAACAGGTTGCCTACAGAAGCTGTGGAGTCTCCACACTTGGAGATATCCAAAACCCAACTGGAGACAGCCTTGAACAACCTGCTTTAGGTGACTCTGCTTTGAGCAGAGGGATTGGACTAGACAATCTCTGGAGGCACCTTCCAGCCTCAGCTGTTCTGTGATTCTGATCTCCATTCCCTTCCCAAAGTCCTTCCCCAGCCAACTAAAAGATGATGGATTCTTTTTTCCCTAAAAGCAATTTTTTCTCTTCCTCACTCACCGTCAGAAACTGTCATCATACTGCTACTACTCCTACCTGCTTTCATCCCTCCTGTTGGCTTTCATCCCTGGAAACCAACTTGTTCATGCATTATGACACCTTAAAGTTTATCAGTGCTGCCTGAGAACAACTGCTTTTTCATCTGTCTTGAGAGGCACCTCACACACATCAAGGTGCTCTTCAAATGATTATCATTGCTATTGCCATTGGTGATAATAATAATAAATCTTCTGTAGTAAGCCTTTGCAATAAGCTTAATTGTCACCCATGTCTGAGAGAGTTTTGACTCTTCGCTTGGCCAGATTGGGCTGTGATTTCATAAGCATAAGCAGTACAATATGTCATTCTGGCATCTTCAGTTCCCACACCACTGTCTTGTCTCATTTAATAACTGAGAGGTGACCATAGCATTAATTTTCTATTCTCTAAAAATTGTTAAAAAGAGTATGTTTACTTCTGTTTCAGGGTTGTAATTTATCTGGGTGATCCCTTAAATTCTTTGATCAGCTGGAATGGAAGGGGTTTTACCATTCCCCTTTTCTCCTTTCATGAGCATCAATTTTTTGCACTCTTACCCTACAAAAAGTTTCCCTTACTCTTATAATTATAGGACTAACATCTTAGGACTTTGAGTTATTTATTACATGGTATGATCTGGATATGAACTGACTGATCACATGAAGATAAATAAAGCAGCGCTTTGGGGACTGTTGGCTTTTTTTAGCAATCCTCACAACAGTTGTTTCTTTTTGTAAAGGAAGCAAAACAAAATCGTGGAAAAAGTCTCAGACATTGCAGAGTTTGAATCCCCAGCGGGGATCAAATGAGTGACATGAAAGTATCAGAGAGTTCTTTATATCAAGAAAAAGATCTTAATGTAACTTCACCGCTACTACTCAAGACTCTTCTTTGAAAATCCTATTCTAGTCATGTTTTGCTCATAAGTCTGCAGACTAAATCCTGCTGTCATTTACACACACCCAGTGTCATCTGGAGCCTTTGTTACCAGCAAATAAAGCTCTGCTGCTTGGTATCAACTTCATGCATGGTTGGATGGCCTAAGCCATCTTCAGATCTGAAGCTCTTTGAATTCTCTATAGGCTTTGACTGTAGAACTACACTTAAATTATGTTTGATTGGGTCATTTGCACTGCTGTCCCAGGAGGGCTTGTCATCAGCCTGATGTAGTTGTTGCTTTTGTTCCTCTCGCTATTCATATTAAATACAACCTTTGAAACTGAATTAAACAAAAGTGTAGAGATGTCTCAAAACATACAGTCGTTATCTCTGTTTTCTTTCCCTGGTCAAATTCCCAAATGGAATGCATATTTCAGGCTATTACGTAGGTTTACTATTGCAGAAAGCTGCTGGGGCTGCAGGAAGTGGTACAAGACTCATTATTCCTTGGAGAAAACAAGTACTTTCCCTTCTGGAAAGCATTCTAGTCCATGCTGTCTCTTGATATCCACAGCAGAAGCCAGGAGAAGTGTCTAGTTTCACCTGTTGCCGCCTTGAGAGCTGGCTGCAGCTACAACTGACCAAATTCCATTAATTTCTTATTTTTTTCTCCATTGAGACTCTCCTCGAGAGGCAGACAGCTGCTCCCCTGCAGCAGGCTTTGCAGAAGAATCCTCTCCTTTATGTGGTCTTTCAGTCCCAGCTTATTCCCGGTGGCCTGTTCCCTTTTGTATCTCTCAGCCTGCAGTGGCCAGCCACCCACATCCAACTGCATTCATGCTCCAGAGATGTCCTTCTTGCATCTGAGGTTACTGAATACTCCCTTGTTTATCAGGGAGGAGCCCAGGAATCCCCAGACAGACTTTTCCTATCCTCAACCACCCTATCCTCTGACCACACTCTCCGAACAACTTCTAACATTTACAGCCTGGCAAGGGTAAATTCCCAGATTAGCTTGGTCTTCCCACTTAGTCCAGAAGCAGGAGAATTACTGGTGGCAAAGACAAGAAAGTAACCCCCTTTCTTCCCTTCACAGCTGACTGAGCTCTGCAGAAACTGCAGAGGTCTCCTTTATCATGTACAGGCAAGTCCAAATCTACCTCTTCCTACTACAACTTGCTCCCCAGCAGCACTGGTCCTGAAACCTTCAAGATATCATTTCCAAAAGTGTATCAGAGCTATGGGTAGTAAAAGTGGACCTTCTGCCTTCAGATTCTTCTTTCCACCTGTCAGGAAAGTCCTCTCAACATGAGAACAGATCAAAAGAACTTGTATCTTCTCTGCCCAGCAACAATAGAGCAAACCAGATATTGACTGGAAATTCCAAAGCAATCTTCACGTAAGCTAAATCCATATGCCTGCTGGGATTTAAAAACAGAAGCCCCACAACAAAAAAAACTGCCTTGAAACCATGAGAGCTCAAAGTCTCATGCAAAGATTTGAAAGCAAAACATCCCTCTTTCCTTCTACCCAGGGAAAGCAAGCTCGAGAGACGTGCCCTGAGAAAGATCTTTTCCAATGAACTGGATCAATATGGTGCTGTATCACGTGAATCTGTGTGCTCAGATAATGGCAAGGCATAGAGGTGTTCCTTCAAGTCGTTCTCTGTCTATGAACCAGCCAGTCGTAGTGACCAGTCGGACCAGATGTCACCACCTAGACAGCAGCAGAGGCACGGGAAACTGAGGAAGAAAGGGATGTTGCTAGCTGGAAGCTGGAAGTTGTTGTGGCCAGAACCACTAGCTTTCCCCCATCCCTCAATCCATACAGTGTTCTGGCTATAGCTGCTGCTACTGCTGAGGCAGAAATTGCTGAGTGGAAGACTCTTATGTCCCACAAACCCCTTCACCACCTCTTCTGTCTGCTTGGCCTCTGCCATTGTAGCTTCCTTAGGACTGGCTGGAGGATGGCATCTGTATACACAGGGCACACTGATTGCCAAAGCCATTTGCTGTTTCAGGCTGGAAATGAGGCCTCTAGCAAAAGTGCAGAACTGAGGAGGCTGTGGAAGTCAGATAAGAAAACCACTGATGCCCAAGGGGTAGCAGAGCATTCAGAGAAGCCTAAAGAGCTGTGACCCTGTAAACATATGATAAGGGCAAGAAAACCCAGCTCTAGCCAGACACCAGAGGAAAGATTACCAACCTCACATTGGCAACAAACAGTTCTTTCAAGGTTCCTCCTCATTGAGATGATGTGGCTGAGACAGCGACACAACCAGAGGGTACTGGGGCATACCCTAAGCTGGAAAGCCTACAAGCCACATCTCGAGACAACCTAGCCTTAGTGGGCAAGCCGCCTGGCTCCCGGTTTCCAACCTCCTGCAGGTCTGCACTTGATTGTCTACCTGATCTGCTGAAACACTTCTTTTCCTCTCCGACCCTCCCAAAGCTTTTTGCCTCCTGCTCTCCTAAGTGAGCCCCAGCCTGGTGCTGCAAGGCACAGCTCAGTTTGCTGGCTGCCCTGGCTGTCAGGAACAGCTAGTAAGATCCCCAGGGACTTATCCGGGGGCGCTCCCAAGGGCACAGTCCCTTCATGGACTAAGATGCTTAGAGAACCCAAACCACCCCACTGTCCTGCATGGGCGCCGAGCCCCCTTCCCGTGGGCAGGCAGTCCCAGGGAGGTTTATCAATCCTTTCAGTGCGATTGATCTGCACAGCCCACCCAGGGAGGGGGGACGAGGGGAGATCGCTGCTCCTCAGCTCCCGCTTTGGCGCAGCAACGCTGGAGACGGGAGAGAAGGTGAGGGAGGGGTGACACTTTCCCTCCCCCCAGCACCCAGGCACCAGTCCCCTCCTGCCCC